CTCACTCCCCTCTGCACCGTCCCCCTCACGCCCCGCCCCGCCCCCTCCCGGCCCCACAGGCTGCACTTCCGGCCTTGGTCTCTGGAGTCCCCACTGCCTGTTCCTCCCTCCCTGCCTCCTGGAGGCCACCCAGCCCAGGCTCCCAGTGGACAGCTCCTCTGCTGTCCACAGGCCTGTCCTTCCCACAAGCACAGGGAAGCGACACTCCACAGCTCAGGGGCAGCAGCTGTGGCGTGTCGCCTCCCTGGGCCCCTGTCCACCTCGCCTACCACTGTTTGCCCCCAGCTCTGGCCTCAGAGAGGTGTCACTAAGAAGCCGTGGTGGGGGGGCGGCAGGGTGAAGGACTGGTGGCCAGAAGCACCACCAACGTTGGGGGGACCCCTCCCTGGCTGGGTCTGGCCCCCAGCGCCCACGGTCTCCTGAGATGGGGTCCGGGACAGAGCTGGTGGCCGCACAACCTCTGCTGGCAGTGGCCAGCTCCCGTGACCCCTGCATGTCTGAAGGCAGTCAAGGGTACCTGCAACTATACCTCCTCATCAGGTGAGGGGGGTTCATGGCGGGTCGGGGACAGCTGAGGTGGCTGGCTGAACCCGATGCTGCACAGAGCCTCCTCAGTTGGGGACCCTGCCGGCGGGACACCTGTGAGAATGTGCTGCCCCAGGCCGCCTGTGTCAGCCTCCAGCCCTGACCCCCATGTGCGGTGGCCATTTCCCAGGCCTCGTGTGAGGGCCCATGGCTGGTCGCCACCACACTACTCCCTGGGGACACCCTCAGTCTCCAGGGCTCCTCTGCCTGGTTCTCCCCCTGCTGCTCTCCCATGCGTGAGGCCCAGTCATGCCCGCTTCTCGTTCTTGTCCATACCTGTCTGGGCAGTGGCCTTGTCCGCACTCAAGGCTGCCTGCAGGTGGCAACTCCAAGACACTCCACCACCCTGTGCTCCGCCCCCTCCCACAACCCTCCTCGGGTGCCCCGCCGCCTCCTCTCTGCCTCTTGCTCCCGTGTCCAGGCCCAGCAGGCCCTGTAGCGCCTCGTGCCCTGGGCCACCACCACCCAGGGGCTGGGCCACCTTCTGGAACAGAGCAGGCGCTCGGTGCGTGCAGGTGATGGAGAGGACGTTCGAGTAACAGCACCTCCACGGACAGGAGCCACCAGCCTGGCCCCAGGGCACCTGCGTCCCCTTGCCTGGTCCCTGGTCCAGCTTTCTCTCCTCCCATGCAGGCCATTCAGGTCTCACCTGCTCAGGTGAGTTGCCTGGTGACCCCGCTGACGCGGTGTGTGCACCTGACCTTGCTTTGCCCGCCTCTCCCCGACCTTGCACCCATCAGGTCCAGGTGTGGCCCAAGTGTGGGCCACCTTGTCCTTTGGTGCTGCTCTCCAGTCACTGGGCTCAGCTCACCTAGGCCCCTCCCCGGTGGTATCTGAGGTTGTAGCTTCCCGCCCCGTCCCCCCGAATCTCAGTGTGAAGCTTCTCAGCCCCGGGGGGCAGAAGTCATGACCCCAGCCCCTGCCTGGCACATGGGTGCAGTGGCGTTTCCCGGGGCGGAGGGCGGGAGGGTGGCAGCTGCCCTTGGCGAGGGGCCGAGGGAGTGGGCGGGGCTCCGTGCCAGGCCTGGGCATCCCTTCCGGGGCCAACCGCAGGCCGCTTCCCCCTGATGACTCAGCACCCGCTTGCAGCTCGGCTGAGCCCGGCCACAGCTGGTGCCCTCAAGGCGAGGCCAGCCTGAGGGTGGGCTCCCACCGGGGCATGCAAGGCCGGCGAGGCGGGCAGGGCCTGCCCCAGGCCGCGGAACCTCCTGGCTTCTCCCACCTGGGTACCACATTCTCACTCCTGAGGGGTGGACCTCGTGGTCTCTGGGGGGTCGGTCCCAGTGTGGACGTGCCATGAGTCCCCTGGAGTCACCTCTCACGCAGTGGGTGGGATGACAGAGAAGGTGGATACCACTCCTTCCCCCGTTAAAGATGGCTGTGGGGGTCGTCCTGGCCAGGCTTCCCGCTCGGTGCCCACCGTGGGGACATCCCTCAGTAGACCCTCATGGGACCCAACAGCCCTGTCTGTGCCTCCAGGCTTTGACCTCTGGGAAATGGCTGTGTTGGAACCCCGAGTCCCCCTCATCCCTTCCAGGGCACTGTCCTCCCCACTGAGTCCCTTCCTGGTGTGGAGCTGTGAGGAGCCCCCTCCCGCCCCCAGCCTGTCTCCTGGTTCACAGGGCACTCCTTGTTCTTGGGGACAGGGGCCCTCCGGCTGGCTGTCCAGGGCCTGGCACAGATGGGGGCAGTGAAGGACAGCTCCACCGAACCCCCACCTGGATCCCCATCTCCCTAGCACTCTGCCAGGAGTACCTGTGCCCACACGCTTCTGGACCTGTCTTCACAGGCAGAGGCCCCAAGGAGCAGGGGCAGATGGAGAAATTGTTGCCTCGGGGGGAAGAGACTTGCTCAAAGCCACGCGGGTCAGTGCCCGGGCTGTGCCCTTCCCCTGCCTCCTGCCCCATCCCTATCCATGAGTGGCCTGCGGGGGGCTGGACTGTGAGGTCAGCTCCCAGCACCAGCAGCATGAGTCCCACCGTAAAGACAGAGACACACAGGAGGGCCGTGTGATGACAGAAGCAGAGATCACAGTGATGTGTCCACAAGCCAAGGGACACCGAAAACTGCCAGGAAGCCACCGGAAGCTGGATGAGGCAGGACGGATCCAGCTAGGGCCTTCGGCGGGAGCGCAGCCCCTGCAGACACCTTGATTTTGGACTTGTGGTCTCTGGGACAGTTGTCTTAAGCCCCCCAGTCTATGGTTACTTGTTAGGGTTCCAGGATACTGACACATGGTCTGCCATTGCGATGCAGCAGGATGGACACAGCTCGCAGGCCCAACAACCACAGGGGAGCAGGACACCTGTCTTGTAGGGCGGGCAGAGGGCATTGGGGAGTGGAGGGTGCAAGTCTGGTCTGACCAGGAGGACGGTGAGCAGGTCAGGGAAGGCCGCCTGGGAGAACATGGAGTCTGGCCTGATCTGTGGGGAGCCTGGCTGGGGAGCCCGGTGGACAGCGGTGACCAGAGTTGCAGGCAGAAGGCTGTAGACGAGGCTGAGGCTACTGCATGTCAGTGCTGGCCTCGGTGGTCCCAGGAGGCGGAAGACTTTGGAGGGCACCGTGGAGAGGGGCAGTGGGGCAGAGACAGGCGCCAAGGGCTCGGGGCCAGCATGTCCCTTCCTCCCCATGGGGCTGCCGGGCGGGGGGCATAGCTAAGGGGCCCCAAGGGAGGCCAAGCAGATAGGATGGCAGACCACAGAGAGGCAGTGGGGGGCCAGCCCCAGGTGACATGATGTGGCCCCGGGGAAGGGTGGTGAGCACCTGGGTTGTTGGCAGGGCCTGCCGCGGGCATCCACTGTCTTGCTGGCTGTGTGATGTGTCGGGGCAGGTGTGTACTGCATCTCTGGACCCAGCACCCTGGATGCCTCAGCTGGGGCTGAGGAGAGAGGGTCTGTTTTGCGGTTTTTGGCTAGACTGGAGGGGTTGGGAAAATGCATGTGACCAGTAGAGGGCAGTAGAAGCTGGCCTTCCACGGGAAGCAAGGCCGGGCTGTGCCTGGGGCAACCTTTGGGGTTAGCGCTGGGGTCAGGTTTAAGGTAAGAATGGGTCAGGGTTAGGGACCACAGATAGTAAGGAGTGCTCATAGTCATTGAAACGGGGCGTCCTATGGGCGTCCTAGAGCCCTTCCCTGGGGACGAACTGTGTATTTCACGTGTTTCTCACCCGCAACGCAACTGGGAAAGGAGAGTGTCACCCCCATTCTATTGAGAAGCAAATTGAGTCCCGGGAAGTTGTAACAAGGCAGGAACAGAGCCGGATTTGAACCCGCGCTCTGTCACAGCAGATGAAAGGTCTCCGGGCCCCTCTGGCTCCTTCAGGCAGACACTGCCGTTGTCCCGTGGGGTCTGAGCAGGATGGGCTTACATCCTCCATGCCCCATGGCTTTGGGTTATTGATCTCTGATTCTTAATACCTCCTGGACCTTGCTCCACGAGCTGCTTCCTAAAGCAGAGCCTTTCTTACGGCTGCCTAGGTTGGGACGTTTGTCCAGCACTGGAAGGACAAGCTTGGGGACCAGCAGGCATACCATCCAGGTCGAGAAACACACAGACGTACAAGCAAGGGCGGGACCACGGGCGCGCAGGAGACTGCCCAATGGTGCCTCCGCCAGGCGGGCCGAGCACCTGTTTTATGTTCACTTGGGACAGCTGGGTCCTTCTCAGCGCCAGTGGACGCCCAGACCTGGTGACTAAGCACCAGGACGCCTGCAGAGGTGGTTTTGTTTCTTGTTTTAACGTATAACTGAACACACGAACAAAAGCGCACAGCTTATGAGCGCACACGCACTTAAGTGTCGGAGCCGCCGCCAGGGCCCGCCTGTCGCCTGCCCGTGACGAGTGGAGGCGCCCGGGGCGCTCCCGGCTGGAGGCGCTCGCGGTTGGAGGGACCCCGGCCACCAGGACGCCTGCAGAGGTGGTTTTGTTTCTTGTTTTAACGTATAACTGAACACACGAACAAAAGCGCACAGCTTATGAGCGCACACGCACTTAAGTGTCGGAGCCGCCGCCAGGGCCCGCCTGTCGCCTGCCCGTGACGAGTGGAGGCGCCCGGGGCGCTCCCGGCTGGAGGCGCTCGCGGTTGGAGGGACCCCGGCGCGGCCCCACAGAGGCCCGCCCTCCGCGCTCCTAGACGGGCGCCCCTGGGCTCAGCTGGGGAAGCCTCAGCCGCCTCCTCTTCACCCCGCCACCCCACGATGGTACGGGGCCCTCTTCACTCGGCTGACCCCGCCTGGAGTCGGGTGGGAGGGAGACCCCCGCGCGCCCTTGGCGCCGGTGCACCGGCGCGGGCGGGACAGGGGCGGAGGAGCCCGGAACCCGAAGGCCGGCTCCCGTTTCCGGCCGGCGGGATCCGAGCGCTGCACGGAGCACGTCCGGGCTGCGCGGAAGGAGTCGTGTCGCTATGGCAACGCTGCGGCCGGAAGTTGCTCCCAGCGAGCGTTCGAGGTGAGATGCAGGCGTGGGCGCGGGGCCCCGACGCGGGAGGGAGCGGTGGGGGCGCGCGAGGTGCCTTCATTCGCGGCCTCTTGAGTCACTTTGCACGATGTCGTCGCTTTCCTTGGAAAAACTCGTGACTTTCAAGTCCTGCCAGACACAGCTTGGTCTTGAGGGGACCGCTGAGGCCCGGAGCGGGCTGGACCCCGTGGGGCCCGCCCCTGCCTGGTCCCTGGGGCTGTTCCCTGCCGCGTCCGCCTCGGTAGGCGGGGCGGCCGGTCTGCGGGCGTTCGCTGGCGCCACGCTTTGTTTGCAGCACTTCAAACCGTTCAGCCCCTTCAGGCAAAGCAGTGACGGGGGCGCTGCTGATGACGCAATGGCGCCGAAAGATGAGGGCGTTCGCCCAAGTTCCGCAGCCGGTGAGGACGAGTTTAAACCCAGGCGGTCTGGGCCCCCAGACTGAAAATTACTGGAGACTTACTAGAATGTCGCAAAAGGAGCACAGAGATTTACCTTGTACCTTTTTGCCGACATCCCCAAAACGTTAGCCTCTTACATTACCACATTTCGTGTAGCCAACTAAGGAAATGAACACTAATACGAAGCCATAATCGAATATACAGGATTTATTCAGTTATCTAACTTTACTATTCCACAGAGTCCAATCCAGGACCATCCTTATTTCCTTAATCTTTACTTGGAACAATTCCTCAGCCTTGCTTTGATTTTCATGAGTCAGTTATTTTGTAGAAGCTCCTCGGTTTGGGTTTATCTGATGTTTCCTCGTGATAAATTTTAAGTAATGTATTTTTGATAAGAAGACCTCAACACTGAAAGTATGTTCTCAGTGTATCTTATCAGTAGGCACCTGATGCCAGTTCGTCCCATCATTAACTGGTCACACAGTTTTAGGTGGCATCTACCAGGTGTCTCATGAAGTTACCGCTTTTCTTTAGTAAATAATAAGTGACTTGTGGGGAGATACTTTGAGACTATGTGACTATCTTTTTTCTACCATGCTTCCTGTCACTGATTTTAGCGACCACAAGTGAGTGAGTTCTGAAACAGTTATATTTGCCAAATGGTGATTTTCCCATTTCTATTATTCCTTCCACATATATTAGTTGGGATTCTACTGTGAGAAACTTCTCTCCTTCCCATTTTTCTTTGTATCCGGTTATTTATGTTGGTATAGACATTTTATTTTTTTTCCATGGGTTGTAATCCATTACTGTCATTTGTTTCGTTGCTCTGATTGTCCAGATTTGGGCTTTAGGAGCCCGTGCAGGTTGGCTTTGGGGTCCTTTTAGCACGCCCCAGCCTTTCTGAGCACTTCCTGGCTTCTCGGCGCCACCATATGTTCCAGGCTCATGTGGTGCTCGCCTCGGCCTCGCCTACAATTGTCCTTTCTCCCAGGAGCGCTAGTTCCTTCTGATGTAGAAAGTGGTGTTTAGGCACCGAGGCCTGGGTGCGGCGTGCTTGTTGCCCTGAATGTCGCTGCTTTTCGGCTTCTCAGTGGGCAGAGCTAGGAAGTGCATGTGGGTATGCTTCATGCACATCTGTATCGATTTCTGGATCTGTACACCTGTGTGTAAAACTGTCGGCTCGTGCTGCCACCTCCAGTTCCAGTTCACAGGGCTCATTCTCCATTCTTTCTCCCCTCTAAGTCTGGCTCTCGTTGTGCTTAAATAGATTTACTTAATTGCTCAGTCTTAGACGACACGGAAAGTGGCACTAGGATTGCCCATCCACGTTTCTGTGAGGAACGAACCTACTGGCTAGAGTGTTATATTTGCATGCAGTTGCCTTTGCTTTTGTCTTTAGCATCCACAGTCAGAGTCCTGTGTTCCAGAGTTGCTTTAGTCAGGTGCGTTGTTTCCGTTTCGTTCTGAGCCCTCACTGATTGAAGGTTTTCGGTATGTGACACAGCGCTGTGGTTCTGCAGGGTGGCAGGTGTAAGTCCTTAACTACGAGACGATTCAGTTTCTCTTCCCTTTTATTTGTCACGTGTTCACTTTTGAGGCAAGGGAATTTGGTGAGTGTAAATTCAAGTAAAAAAGCACTGCATACCCCTCACTGTAGCGGTGCCGCCCACCGCAGCAAGTGCCAGCGGTGGAGTTAAGCTGTCTGCTGCCTGTCTTGTGTCGGGTTTCACAGATGGTGTGGGTACCATCTGACAGTCAGGGAAGGATGGGAGAGAAGGCTGTGGCCACAGGCCCATGGATATCACTCCCTAGACCCCCATAGCAACCAAGTGCCCTGAGCCGGGCTCCCGCTGCCCACATTGGCATGCCACAGGACGCCGGCATTGAGCCCTGCGTGCAGAGCAGCCACCTCTGGGCCCTCCCTTGGGCCCCACGCAACATGAATTCAGCACATGGCTTGTATTACAGTGACTACAAAAGCACATCGCCCGGAGTGGGTTTGGGTCCTTCTGCATCATGACGGGCGGGCAGCCAGGCGCGCCCAGAGCATAGTCCTTTGGAGGAGGGAGGCGCACAGAGCCCCCACCTCGGCGTCTCCGTCAGCCTGTGCCCGGACGGCTCGTTCACCTGGCAACTGTCGGGTGCGTTTTAGGTCTGCGACTGCCTCTGTTCTCTGGAGATGACGCGACGCCCTTCCAGTGGAGTGCTTCACTGGTGTCCGTTCTGAAATAAACCGCCCACGTTTGGTCGCCGGACAGAACTGCGGTCAACCCCACTGCCACGTCTGCAGAGCGGGAGCCTGCTGGTTCGTCTGTGACCCTGACGCGTTCACTCTGGCCATTGGCCCAAGAGAGCATCACCTCCTCCCCCGTCTCTGTCCGTGGAGTGTGTGGTCACCGCAGCCCGCTTGCTGGTGGCCCTGCTGGGCGCACTGTGCTCAGGCCATTCTCCATGTTCCTGTAGCCCCGTGCCCCAGGACTCTGGGGACGCAGTAAGTACGACGCCAGTGTTGAGACGTCCTCATCCAAGGCTCGTCCTCGCGACCCTGGCAGTCTTGGCCCTGTCGTGCCGTGTGATGAGACACGCCAGGGTCTGGCACCTCTGGAAGCACCGACTTCTGAGCCTCTTTCTCCTGGGCTCCCGTGTAGCTGCCTGTGCCTCTGCTGGGGCTGGTCCCACGCTCGCGGCCGGCGTGGCCCTGGCGGTGCCGGTATGCGTGCCGCCTTACTGTGGCGTGCGGGGTGCTGTGTGCAGTGCTGTGCGAGACGGGTCTCCGCTGCGGCGTCTGCTGGTGTCTGAGAATTT